TATATAGTCGAAAAAAGTCCGATAGAACCAATAGAAAAGTAACTATTTTGTCACATCTTTAATTAAATTTTGTTAAATAAATTAATTTTTTATACTATAAATATCTTTTTTTTTTCCTAATCTCCTACGAACTGATATAATATGACGAGCAATCTATTAAATTACTGTGAGATTATATGCCTCGATAACATATTGGTGCAGATTATTTTCACCCAAACAAATAATAACCCAAACTATACATTGATGCGGATTGTCTATGAACTCTTTCTGAAGGTCACAGAAACCTGAACGCGTAATTCGGTGTTCTTTCGCATCTGTTGTAGTTAATTTGTGTCTATACTATCAATCCTATGTATTTCCGTTTGTTATACAGGGTGTTTCAAAAAACAAGTGCCATCTCTCGTGGGAGATTTCTCACGTAAAAATAAGATCTATTTTTTAGATCAACATAGGTGCGATTTTGCTTTGTTTCGTAGCTACAGGGTGTTAAAATCTTAATATTCTTAAGTAGGTACTTTTAGTGATTCGAATGAAATTTTGAGGGTAAAAGTTACTATAAGTGCTACATATTTTAACGCTAAAAAAATGTCGATAAATTCATCAGGTAGTGTTTATGGGTTATAACTGGAATATTTTTCAACGCAAAACATGTGCGCCGCGTGTTTTTCTTTTGTTATTAAAATTGTGTAGGACCGAAGTAGACCGAAATCGACAAAATATCAAGAGATAACTTTTAATCGGCATTAAACTGCTTACACTATTTCGTTAACAAGAATAAATGAAGCCAGTGGCGTACATGCTTTTTTTAGAAAAATATTCCCGTGATAACCCATTTGCACGTCGCTGGTGAATATATCGACACTTTTTTAGCATTAAAATTAAAGAAACTTATAGTAACTTTTACCCTTAAAATTTCATTCGAAATGCTAAAAGTATTTGGAAGAAAATTATATTAAATCGAAAAAGTATTAAAACTTTAACACCCCGTAGCTCCGAAACAAAGCAGAATCGGACCTATGTTGATATGAAAGATAAATCTTATTTTTACGTGAGGAATCTCCCCACGAAAGATGGCACATGTTTTTTGAGACACGTGTATAATCGTTCAAATAATTGTAATTTAAAATTCAATCCTATGTATATTATTTAAAAATCAAAACACAAATAAAATTGCTTTTCAACAATCTTCCTATATCTAAACCTTCTAGTTTCGTCAGTAAAGTCATTTAAAAGATAATAATTCTATTCTAATTATTTCGTTTAAAGGAAATCGTTACAATGACAAATATTCTAACTTTATAAGTATCAATTAGAGACCTTACTGCTAAATTTTTAAAATTATTATGGTAACGAAATTTTTAAAATTAGACTACCATAATAAATTACAGATGAGGGTTGGAACCTTTGGTGTTACACAGCAAAATAAAAACACTAAATTACCATAATACACCAAAACACTTTTACTTTTACACTGGATTACAATCTTTACAAGAAATTTTATAAATACCCGACCTTTCCAGTAGAGGTGTTTTATCCTTTGGAAAACCTCTACTGGAAAGGTTGAGATTGTAATCAGAAATATGTTGGGCAAACTAGAAGATCAATATTGACTAGATTTAAAGAACATTTAGCTCAGATAAGATATGGTAGACCGGATAAATCTTGCGTTGCCGAACATATTGTTGATAAAGAACATTGTATAGATCTTAATAATTTAAAATTAATTAAACAAGTCTCAAATTACAGGCAATTAGATGCATATGAAAGCATCAGAATTAATAAATGTAAAGATAGTATGAACAGAGACAACGGTCCAATTCCTTCAAGTTCTTTGTTCCTACTACTCTAGTGGCGGAAATCTAACTGTTACGCTCAGTGGCCTCTGACTCGGTTGGCTAGATTTTCCACGCCCACTCGGTGCCCACTGAGTGAGTATATAAACGCTCAACTTGTAGATTATACTTTAGTTTATAATCATCTGCTGATGATGCTAACATGGTTAGAGAAACGCGAGTCCAGTGTAAAAGTAAAAGTGTTTTGGTGTATTGTGGTGATTTAGTGTTTTTATTTTACCATAATAAAATTATTAATTTTTAAATACCTTTACTTAAGAAACCCGAAGGTTTATGTATAGGAACATGATATATCGTTGAAAAGCTACATTATTAGTCTTTTGATTTTTCAGTACAGGCTTTCGTCTACCAATCTGAAGGTAGTGGGTTCGATTCCCACACCCGACATTTCATCAGCCGACTATTTTTATTAAAATAAAAATAGTTTGGGTACCTAGGTCGACTCAGCCTTAAATGAGTAACTTGGGATTCACAATCCTGAGGTAATAATAGGCGGTTGAAGCGTAGTGCTAGCCACACTACCTTTCTTGTATACCGAACGGCTCTAGTATGGCAAGCTGTACCTTGCTACTCCCAAGGCGTTAAACGCTATATACGGGAGCTATTATTTATATTCGAGAACACTTTAGTTTTTTTAAAACAGATACCTCTACAAGAAACCGTTGACGTTCTGTTAAAATGACATTATATGTTATGTTCTTTAAAATCAAGCGATTGCCATACATCTACAGATGCATGAGCAATACATTTATTTTTATCCAAAAAAATCCTTATGGGTTTTTCGCCACTGCACTGCAAGAAAAATCTACAAAATAAAATAGTTATTTTTTGTAAACACTTCTGCGTTAAACCTAAATGGACGCTGCTTGTCAGGAGTTGTGTTTACAGTAATAAAAATTTGCCTAACAAAGAAAAAAATGCTTAACGTTTCGGAAAGTTTTCTCTTTCCGTCGTCGGAAGCAAAAAAATATAAAGAATCAAGAAAATAACTATTTAAAATATTTAAATTGAACTATTCGAGAACACTTTCCTTTTTAAAACAGATACGACTACAAGAAACCGTTGACGTTCTGTTAAAATGACATTATATTAAGTTAAACTTCAAAATTAACAATTACTACCTGATAACAATTACTTAATAAGGTAAAACCAAAAAGCCCAAACTTTCTGTATGATTATTTTTAAATTTCACGTATGTTATGTTTATTTATGTTATGTTCTTTAAAATCAAAGAAGCGATTGCCATACATTACTAACATCTACAGATGCATGAGCAATACATTTATTTTTATTAGATTGAATTAAAAAAGCCTCTTTTATTTTTCTTTTAGAGGCTATCGCTTCTTTCATTATAATTTTGGGGATATTAAAATTTATTCTGTGCCCTGTGTCCCTGATGTCTAGATGTTTCACCAATTTATTTTTTATTTTTTTTTTGCTTTTCCTGTTTAATACCCAATCATTTAGTCAGATTGAATATATCGACTTTCGTTAACTTATAACCCAAATTTCAACTTTTAAAATGTTCAATTCATGATTTTACCAATGCTTATTCAAGATCATGTTTTTGTCAATTTTACACACAAGGTTTATTTATTATCTCAAAAAATGTTAAATATAGATATAGGTTAGAATAATAGAAAAATTATGAGATATGAAAGTAGTTTCCAAAAATATAATAATATACCAAATGTTTCATTTAAATTAAGAAAGACGCTACCACTTTTCAAATGATGCGGCAACATTGAAACGCTGAAAATATTTTAGATAGATGGAGCAGGTGCCTTTTCAAAAAAAAATCTTTTAAAAATCAACTTTTCTTCGTAAACGTCTAACGTGCCATCGCCGTGAATCACCCTATACAGGGTGCTACAAATTCGAGGTATCTGAGCATTGGTATCTCGGTAACCGTAATAGATGCGAACATGGTTAAATTGGGTAAAGTTGTGCTTTGGGATGTTCACCAAGATGCCATCAAAAAAGTTTTAAAAATTTCAAGGATTGCTGAGTTTTTTTGGAAAAAAAAACGATTTTTTTTGAAAATGAATTTTATTTTTTCCTGTCGTTACTTTTTAGAGAATCAAAAAAATAATTGCACATTCTCATAGCCACTCTATTAGGGATATCTGTTTTTTAGATTTGTAAATTAGCTGATAATTTGTGAGATATAAAGGCCAACTTAATTTTTTTAAATACGGACTTGCATTTTTTATTCCCGGTTTTGAAAGAACTCGGTCTCCTGATTACAATGATATGCCACACTTTATACTTTATTTTGTTTTGGGCACCTTAACAACAACAAAACTATTTAATTATTATTTAAAATAATTTCAAGTCCGACTCTGGTTTATTTTAATTATTTAATCTGATTATATTCATTGCAACAATATTGATCAGCGCTAATTAACATTGAATAAGGAAAATCGAGCCAATTGGAGGATTTAAATAAATTATATCCAGGTCAGCAATTAGAAGATATTATTTTTAACTTTTTTTATAGTGACTTTGAAATCTCAGTGTGCGATCATCAAGTTTGAAAGCTTATCAATATTGTAACAATGAATAGATTAAATATTTAAAAAAAAACAGAGCCGGACTTAAAATAAGTTTAAATAAATGGTGTTCAAATGTCCGAAACAAAAAAAATATTAAATGTGGCATATCATTGTACTCAGGAGACCGAGTTCTTTCAAAGCCTGAAATAAAAATTGCAGGTCCGTATTTAAAAAAATTAAGTTGGCATCTGTATCTCACAAATTATCAGCTAATTTAAAATCTAAAAACACTATCAGATAGCCCTTATAAAGTGGCTATAAGAATGTGTAATTAGTTTTTTGATTTTCTTAAAAGTAACGGCAGCAAAAAATAAAATTAATTTTTAAAAAATCCGTTTTTTTTTCAAAAAACTCTGCAATCTTTGAAATTTTTGAAACTTTTTTGATGATATCTTGGTGAACATCGCAAAGCTCAACTTTGCCCCAATTTAACCATGTTTGTATCTATTACGGTTACCGAGATACCAATGCTCGTACCTCGAATTTGTAGCATCCTGTATAGAACATACTTCGAAATGATATTTGTAATTAACTAGAATTGTTACACACCTTCAATTTCTCATTTCACAGTAGAATTTCTACCCATAATTACCTTTGGACGATGAATCGGGACTGTATGCTTTCTCCTGCTTGAACTTGTTGATGTAGTAGCTCAACAGCTGGATGTCGTTCTGCAATGGGTTTTCGTACAAGTAAATGTACGGTCTCCTGTCATATGCCCTGCCGCCTGCGTATGATACACTAGCTAGATGACCAGTTCCTGCAGATCGGGTTTAGTCACACACAGTTCGAATCGACCAATTGTGGAGGGAGTACTTGCTTGCCGGCGACATTAAAAGCAATGCTGATGCGTCTGAAAGCTGCGCGCTAGAGCTGCGTGCCTTTGCTGCTTGCTATTGCTGTTTGCTAAGGTGTTTTGGTGTATTTTTAATATTTATACTGTATACTAAGGGCTGGCAAAGGTTAATCTTGGGCCGAGATATCCGTATGTAAGAAGAGTTTATAATGTACAGGGTTTCCCATTTTGGTTGAAATCATACGGTATCTTCGTTATTAGTAAAGATAGGAGGATGCGGTTTGCACAAACCTGTCCCACTTTTTTGTCAAACGGAAGATGCTGCAAACAAAATTTTCATAGCCTTCTTCGTTTCTGAGCTACAGGGTCTTTTTGAAAATTTTGCAATTTGGGACACCCCCTGTATCTCTGTTATTGTTAAAGGTATCGAGAAGGTGAAAACTGTTTATTGTAGAACTTTTTACGTAGAATACAGTGGCGTAGACTGGTTTTCTACAAAAAAAAATATTTTTGAAAGTATGAACTAAAGTTAGGTTTTTTCAAATAGAACACTCTGTATATTTATATAAAATGTATATCACTCTATATTTATTTTCAGTATTTACTGCAATATTTAAAATATATCATTTTCTTATTAGTAGGCCGTGATAAATAACAAAAAAAAATAAAATGGTAGGTATTTACTAAAATAATCTACACATATTCAAATTTTATTTGGGATTAATATATTACACTTTTGTGTTACTGTTACCACTGAATCTGTGAATATATTTTTCTTTTTCTTATAACGAAATTTATTATAACGGGATGCGTTGGCAAATATCTAAAAGCTTGCATTATTAAGGCATTTTTTAGGTGTTCGACATTGTTGTAGTTGCCAGGATATACTTCATATTTCAAAAAAACCCAAAATCAAAAATCGAGAACGAACAAATCCGGGAATCAGTGGGGCCATCATATGGGTTCATTGGTTCCATATGTTGGGATTAATTCATTCATTTGAGAAATAATAATTTAGCCAAATTCTAATATTTTCAAAGTTGTGAGCTGGAACCTCATCTTGCTGAAAGTATATTTCACGTAAATTGGCTAAAGGAATATCTAAAATTTCCTGTGGGGTAGCTTCCAAGATTTACAAATAGCGGTAGAGAGTTAAGTTTCCCTAATATATAAAGAATTTATTAGTGGCTTCCAAAATAAAACAAGAGATAGATAGCAGTATACTTTTAATAATTCCTTAGTTTCGTCATTTTTCAATCATAGCCTACTAATAAATACGATATTTTAATAAAAACTTTTAAATATTGCAGTAAATAGTGAAAATAATTATAGAGTGATATATATTTTTGAGAAGCTTATGGTAAGTCAGATCATATAATTAATAAATATACAGGGTGTTCCATTTAGGAAAACATAACTTTAGTCCATATCTAAAAATGTACTTAGTAGTAATAGTACTCGTAGACTGACAGACTACGCCACTATATTCTACGTAAAAAGTTCTACAATAAACAATTTTCACCTTCTCGATAGCTTTAACAATAACAGAGATACAGGGGGTGTCCCAAATTGCAAAATTTTCAAAAAGACCCTCAGAAACGAAGAGGGCTATGAAAATTTTGTTTACGGCATCTTCCGTTTGACAAAAAAGTGAGACAGGTTTGTGCAAACCGCACCCTTCTATCTTCACTATTAACGGAGATACCGTATGATTTCAACCAAAATGGGACACACTGTACTGAACATCTCTCTTACAGAGAGAACACTAAACACGTTGCCAAACGTATGAAATAAACCGAGAAACTGTGCATATTGCTAAGAGACGTGGTAGAGTATATAGCAGATTTGTCGCAGTCGACTGGTCGATCCAATCAGTACCTCTCATAATACAGTACCTCTGTCAGTACTTAAAGTTACAGGGCAGAGTGTACATGCATCATGCGTTCAGCTTCACGATTTAATTACGTCTCGTAATACTTTATTTGTTTGTTTATTAACGAGTCGTTGTAATTTTCTCTATAGCTTGAAAAATTTTAAGTGCAATTTAGAAACACTTCTATTTTTGGTAAAAAATAAGTGGAATTGAGTTGGTGTTCGACAGTGGTCGCGCTATTAGAACTCTGAGTTCAAATATCGATTAGAAATAATTGATTGTAGTTTTTCAAAAACTTTCTTAATATTTCTGCTGTATTTTCTTCGCAGACAGTATTTGAAAATCATTATAAATAAAAATTCACACGATTACTGAAAATAACTATGCACTAAAAGTAAATGGATGGGTCATTTAAAATTTTTGAATGGAAAGAACAACCTTATCGATCAAAAGTTTCAATATCTAAAGTGGTTCTTAAGTTATGGCGTGTTATGTGTTAAAAAGTTGAGTTTTTAAATTATCGCGATTACTGACGTTTTCTCGTTATAAAAAAATGGATACTCTGACGATATCCTGATAATTCCATTTCAAATGCTTAAAAATATATCTCATGATTTTATGTAGTTATCTTTTCGAAAACAAAGTCTTTTAAAAATAAGCTGTTTACGATCGTGATTTTACTTTACTTGATAGGGAAAGGCGTATCGGCAACGCCGCAACAGCACACCGTTGCGCGTCGCGTTGGTCGGTCGCATTTCTCTCACTCCGACTGAATAAGATCCCTATGCGATTTACTTCCACAATGTAAATACCGACCCAAAAGTAACAGTTGCCAGCATGGTATAAGTTATGATTTGTAATTTGAATTAATATATACCCTTAGAAGAGAAGAAAAGCCCTTAATATATACCTGGTGATAACAAAATCAGGGAATATTCGATAAACAGTATTTTAAACCTAAATTTAAAATTTATTGGATAATACCAAATCAAATGGCGGTTTGTGCTAGGATTTTTTTATCATCCGGTATAAAACTACTGTACAATCAAGTAAATTTATTAATAACAAATCTTTAAAATTTATTTTTTATTCAAAAACTACTTATTTCAAACTTACTCCATGATAATATTCTGGACATGCCTTTTATGAAGCTGGTACCAGAATATGGGTCAAATGCTCACCAACATTGTATCCAATGTTATCGTACACACTATGAGTACAACGTTGAAAGACATTTGACACATAATCTGAAGAAGGCTTAACTCGTTCTAACATTAATACAATTTAAGTTCATTCTACAGTTTTAGTCAATGATTTAAAGTATTGTGTTTTTTGTGCTATTATAATGATAACTCTAAATTTAAAAAAAAAATCTATCCAAATTTCAAAGTCTTTTTTCAGATGGAATAACTATAGACATTGATACCTAAACAACTTTTTTTGTCGACAAAACGTTTTATAAAGGCATTATTAAAATTAAAGAAACATGAATCCACTAAATCATTGGTATGCTTCTATAAACGAAAATTACTTGTAAAAAATGTGAGGCACAAATATTAAATATTAACATTTTAGATATAATTAATTTTTGGAGTACCGAACTATACATATACAGGGTGAGTTTTCTACGATGTTCTCTATGGGCATCTCAGAAACTACTGGAGATAGAGAGTCGGTTAAATGGGGAAAGAATTGCAGTTTTGTGGGGTCATAAATATGCGCCTTTCAGATTTTTGAAAAAGTTCATAGCTTACTAGATATTTCGAAAAAAACAAATTTTGGCTATTTTAAAAATTGTCCCTAATTCCATTACAATCTATTTTAGACAAAAAGTGTTCAGATAAAAGTTGTAGATAATTATATTCCTAATGAGTTTGTGTTGTCTGATTTTTTATAAAACCTGTCATTTTTGACATATGACACAAACATATGTTTTTTTAAATGGAAACCATAGTTTGCTGTGACTTCATAAGCGCCATTTTTTAAGCTTTTCAGCAATATAAGCTATAATATGTTTCTTTCACAAAATTACTGAGTTATAGCCAATTCTTATCTTTCTTGACTAATTTCACTTAGTTAGCCATGGAAACAAGTTCAATCGTCGTTGCTCTCAGAAATTTGAAATTGTCTCACATCCAATCTTTGTAAATTAAAATAAACAAAAATTGTAGATAAAAAATTTTCAAATGAAGAAAAGCGTGTAGGATTATTGGTTCAACTTTTCTTGGCCATACAGAATACGTTGACCGGTAAAAGTTACTTACGTTTTTTACAGAACGGTTTTCAATGGTGTTCAAATTTTATTGTGATTTATAACTTATAAAAAGAAAAAATATGTTATTAAACAGCTCTTTACAATTTAGATTACACAAACTAAAACTCAAAAAAATAATATCACTACGTACACTTTAAGTTATTTTAGAAAATGTTCAAAAAATCCGCAATTATTTTGAGTACATAAATGCATCTTTTTAAAACTAAATTTCTAGCTATTGTCACAGAACGACCGGTCGCCTTAATTAAACTTCTCCTGTTCCGCCTCTTCGAGTGCCTCTCTTAATTCATAAGTTCTTTTGTAAACCTTGTTGTTAACCATACCGCATAAAAAAATATAAAATGGATAGGTCAGGTGACCGAGGAGATCCATGCAATTGGTCCACCTCCCTGAGTCTACATAATTATGATATAAATAATTTTTTAAATAACATTTCTTTCATTGTAGGGTGGGGGGGGGGTTGGTGCGTCATAATGAAAGTCATGTTGGAACCACTGTATTAATGCGCGAGTATCTAAATTTAACTTTTCTAACATGTCTTGAAAACCGTTTTCTAAAAAACGTAACGTTCACCGGTCAACATATCTTCGAAACTGTATGGCCAAGAAAAGTTGAACCATTAATTCTACACGCTGTTCTTCATTTAAAAAACTCTTATTTACAATTTTTGTTTATGTTAATTTACAAAGATTGGATGTGACAATTTCACATTTCTGAGAGCAACGACGATTGAACTTGTTTCCATGGCTAACTAAGTGAAATTAGTCAAGAAAGATAAGAATTGGTTATAACTCAGTAATTTGGTAAAAGAAACATATTATAGCTTACATCGTTGAAAAGCTTAAAAAACGGCGCTTTTTATGAAGTTATGGCCAACTATGTTTTCCATTTAAAAAAACATATGTTTGTGTCATATGTCAAAAATGACAGGCTTTAGAAAAAATCGGAGAACACAATCTCATTAGGGATGTGATTATGTACAACTTTTATCTGAAAACTTTTTGTCTAAAATAGATTATAATGGAATTAGGGACAATTTTCAAAATAGCCAAAATTTGTTTTTTTTTCGAAATATCTAGTAAGCCATGAACTTTTTCGAACATCTGAAAAGCGCATATTTATGACCCCACAAAACTGCAATTCTTTCCCCATTTAACTGACTCTCTATCTCCAGTAGTTTCCGAGATACCCATAGAGAACATCATAGGAAACTCACCCTGTATTTTAGAAATATTAATTTTTAATAATAATATTAATATAATACATAGTTATTAAATTTTCTAAATGGGTAATTTGAAAACTAGTTTAATCTTTTGATACATAATACGTAGTTTAAATGTTTAAAAATATATGTTTAAGTAACTAGTCTTTTGGAAATATTTTTAAATTTTTGGGCTCAAGTTTCGTTTATCTGAAATCAGTTATGTAGAAATATTATTTGTTAATTTAGTATTTGAAAACCTTTTCGAATAGTATGTCATAAAAAAAATTTTCTGCGAAAATACATAATTTTAAGTTTTTCAACTTTAGAACAGTTGAAACCACTTACATGAAAGCACGTTTCTGTTTTTCATTATAGAATTCTTCTTGTGTACCACTTTCATTTATTGATACATTATTGTAAAATATAGCAAGATTTGGAAACTACTCGGTTATTAGAATTCGTATAAAGAGGCGTTTTAGCTTACAGCGTGTTTTGATTGTTTTGGTTTGGTTTGTTGGTTTATTTTTGTTTATTTTCGTTTTTTCTCAGTACGGTATTGATGTCAAAATTACAGTATCAACTAGATTAAGTTCATACCTACACAATAAAAGTGTTTAGAATGTAAAGCAGGAACACATTTTCATGTAAAGAGAATGATGCATTTTCTCAGAGAATTTTTTTTTTTGATTTGTGTTTGGGGAGGATTCTATATACTGGATGTTTTGTTTTTTTTACAAGTGATTTTCAGTAGAAAAAAACTTCACCCAATTTTTTTAAATGCACATAATCTGCGTTTTTTTTCACACATTTTAGGTATTTATTCATTTTATCAACTGTCTCGGGGTTAAATAAACCTGTTATAACTGTTTTTATTACATTGTGGATGATAGCTTCAAGCGTTTGCAAAGATTTCAGTTCTTTTGAATTAAAATAACTGTTTAAAATGCATTTAAATTATTATTTCATTAGTATGTATAACTTGAACGATGTATTTAATTATAATTCGAAAGAAAATTTAAATTTAAAATCCAAATAACTGAAGAAAAATAAGTGAGAGAGATTATTTCAAAAACAAAAACTTAAAATGTTTAAAAAAACTTATTTTTATACACAGCGTTTGATATTTGCTTTAATATACCACTTATACGAGGTGTAAAATTTAATACAAGACTCAACAAGAAGAAGTTTCTTAATAATAAACTCACAATGTAAATATTACAAAAGCAAAATAGGGGATAACAAAGATTAAGATATATTAATTATTCCGTTTACGTAACTACATATACGTACTACGTTAATTATTGAGCTTGTAACTAATGAAAGCAGGATTACTGAATAAATCGTTAGGTTTCTATTTACGTCGGTATTTTCAGTCAATTTATCTTCTCTGGAAGATGCGTAGTTTATGTTGACTAGGATTTTTCCTTACATTAGTATTACCACACTGAATAAGAAGACCAAACAAAGTCTCAAATTTATATTTAGTATATAATTTAGCCTATATTTGTCATTTAAGACCGCAGCTACGTCATTGTAACAATAATTATGAATCTGGTAAATTATTATGTCTCGATTTAAGATACAATAAGGATATTTTTAATCTTAGAATGGAACTTCAATATGCTTTTATCTATACTTATACCTTATAATATAGGAACAGTTAAATCATATGACCGATGACCAGTTAGTAACAAATATTAAAGACATATTCTTAAAGTTCTTTAGGTATCAATGCCAAAAATCCATTCTATAATAAATAGTATTATTCTACTATAATTTTTTCATCATCTAACTGATTGATTGTTAGACATTACTGATGTAATTTTCCAAATACTAGTCGATCATTTTTTAATCTGGATGCCTAAGATTTTTCATGGTCTGTTTATTTCTAGAAGACTGATTGTATGAATTTGCTAATTATAAACATATTTTTTGGAGAAAAACATTACAACAAATATAATAAAATCCGCTAGAGTCTTAGAAATGCTTTATTAAAATTTATTATACTAAAATATAAAACAAAATATGTATTTAATTAGAAATTTGTTTGGGTTTGCAATGCGAAAATAAAAACTTTGCTGTGGGGTGTCGATCAAGAATTACCATTCCTGTAATGACGAAAATTCTAAGTATTTAAACACAACAAACATTATTTATATTTATAATAAAAAAATTTCACGTATTTTAAAAGTTTTTTTAACTTTTTTTAATAATGGCCCTAAATTGTTTAAACTATTAAACCAAAAATTACGGTATGACGATATTTATTATGAAAAATATTATCTATAATACGTATAATTTAATTTTAACTAACTATTATTATTTTAAAAATTCCAGTAATTCAAAAATATTTACCTATTACCTATTACCCAAAAACCATTATTGAAAAACTATAGTAAAGGTAGATTGATCATATAAAAATGGTGTGTATTATAAATTATTTTCTAAAAAGCTTAGGCATTAAGCAAAAAGCTGGACATTTATTTAAATTTCTCCTTTCGTAATAAGCAAGGGATAATTAAATTATGTGGCAACAATGCTTTCTGATACTTACCAATGTATTTTCTTATTGGTTCGCTGTAGTAAGTGGTATAACTAGTTTTTGCGTTGTATGGTGATGTGATTAAAATCTTTTGTATATAATTGTCACTAGTATACCTGGCGGGTATATCATTGTAGTATCTGAAAATAAAACAATTATTTAGATTTAAGAAGACAGTTATGTAAAAAAATTATAATTCCCTAATCGATTGGAATATTAACAATAATGTAATTGATATAACTAGGTAGGAACTAACTAGTAGATAACTAACGGGTAAGAACAATTGGTTATACAAAAACTAATTTTGAAAAATGTCATCATCTGTAGATATGCAAAATCACAAAAATTTAATGTTGGGTGTATAATGAAAAATTTAAAATATATTAATAAAATACAAGTATAATTAAACATTTTTAAGACCTTCCTATGTTGATTTTACATATAATATGTAAACATTTATATTTTCTTTTGTTTTACAGATGGATCAAGAACGTCAGTGTGCATAGGAGCTGGAATAGTAAGGCTGGAATAAGCAATACAGCTTTACAAATGCTATCAAAACATATCACCAAGTTTCCAGACAGAAAACACGAAAATCCATTATTGTGTAGAAGAAACTACCTAGAAAGATAGAAGCCTTCTTTAGAGGTCCTCTGTGGAGGTTCTCTGTAGATGTCCTATCGTGGTCTAATCCTAATACAGTCTCTTCAACGAGAAGATCTCTGACATTGACAGTTATATCTGCCATTTCAATTCACAAGCAAATTTTACTTCTTGTTTTTTATTTGTGTGTGTGCAAATACATTGGAAGAAAGAAACAAATTTACGCTAGTCGGGGTATTGGAGTGCAAAGATTACAAGGGCAGCAGAATGGCAAATGGTAAAAATGCTAAAAAAGCTAAAGCTCATCAACGCCATTCGTAGGCCCAGCAATATTCTACGATGCAGCAAAAGCAGTTACAAAAATGTCACTAGAATGGTAGAAATACAGAATAGACACATAACAGTATACCGGGTAAGTCTCAAAAGTGGCTCACCCCTATAACTTTTTTATTTTTTTTAGTTAAAAAAACCAGATTTGGTATGTTAGTATATGACATAAATTAGGATTGATTGACGTATTGAATTGTTTTCGGTCACTTCCGGTTTCATCGAAAATGACTACAAGTTTTGATTTTTAAATGACACCCCGGTATTTTTTTACTTTATTTGATAGAAAATATCACTCTGAATAGAATGACATATCATATGTCAACTTTTGACATTTTCGCATATGGTTTATTTGAAATTATAACTTGCCGTTCGTAACGAAAATTTGAATCGAAATACCAAGTGTGTGGTATCAAATTATTCGTAAAAAAATGCTTTTTCCAAATATTCTAACGAGCCACCCTCGTTCCATTTGAAAAAATTGAGATATGATTAGAAATACGATTTGAGCATTTTCTAGCTGGCCAGGACAAGATACTAAAAATATTAGACGATCAAATCTATTTTTCCAAGACTCCTTGATGAAGAATTAGTATCTTTAACATAGTCATGGCACTCTAGATTGAATTTTAAATTACAATTTTTGATTAAGCGAGAATATCAAAAGCTGACATACGATATGTCATTCTATTCAGAATGTAATTTTCTATCGAATAAAGTAAAAAAATACCGAGGGTGCCATTTAAAAATCAAAAGTTGTTGTCATTTCCGGTGAAACAGGAAGTGACCAAAAACAATTGAATACACAAATTAATCCTAATTTATGTCATATACTAACATACCAAATCTCGTTTTTTATCTGAAAAAATAAAAAAGTTATAGGGGGTGAATCACTTTTGAGACGCACCCGGTATAGCAGATATTACCCAACATTTACGGTAAACTTAATATGCAAAGACATTGAAAACTGTAGTAAATCTACTAACAGGGCATTAGAGGTTCAATCGGAATTTAGAGCTCATGGGAATGAAAGAAGCAAAATCACAGGCAAATATAATCAGTTCAATCATGCGAAAAAACAACATAACACATTCTATGTCAGTGCGATATGCCTGGCAAATGTACGTAACTTCATACTAGGTAGTAAGCCATGGAAAAAGTACTATGTTGAAGGTTCAGTCAAAGTCTTGTTGAAAAGGATACAACTGAATAATATAATCTAGAACCACTATGGGGACCATTATCTATTTAATGCCGGGTTCATACCAAGAAAACAAAAAGGACACAATTTCTAGACAGAAACAAGAAAAACCTGCAAGACAAATAAGAGTTTTTACTACAAGTCAAAACTGAAAGGACTATCCACACCAGTAAGACAAAACTTCTAGTTGTAATGATGTTATTTTAGTATATGACATTTCGACGATTAGAAAGAGAAAATGATAGGAAGCAAGTTCTTTCATCATTCTTCGTTCGCTTCCAAAAGCTGTAAAACATTTTTGAATAAAATCAATTTACTAAGTCAATATTGCAATTTGCGGGTATTTTTTCTATTCAGAATGTCATTTTCTATCGAATAAAGTAAAAAAATACCGAGGGTGCCATTTAAAAATCAAAAGTTGTTGTCATTTCCGGTGAAACAGGAAGTGAAACATTTTTGAATAAAATCAATTTGCTAAGTCAAGATTTCAATTTGCGGGTATTTTTCGTATTCCATTTTTTCCAGGCATTTTTTTAAAGAGAAATCTTGTACTACCCAACAGAATTAAATTCATGTTACTTCGGTGGTCTACTTTTGTCAACACACGCCAACTATATTGCACCGTCAATTCAACAAGACAAGGAACTCTATGGATGGTTCAGTTTCCAATTTGTTAGACGTTTTGAATATGATAGGGCTGGAGAATGCAACCTAGAGATTAGAAGAAGATCACAATAAATCTGAAAAGGTTGCAGTAGCGTAGCCCGATAGCCTTTACCGACTCGAAACTGGATTTCTGGACTTTGAAACAAAACAGGAATGGGTCAAAACTTTGAAAGAAATGATATTTAGTTCTAAATTATGATATACAGATGTAAGTTTAATTTTGGGCATAGGAATATTACTATTTTTGTAAATAATGAAATTGAACCTTAAACTTTAGTAACAAGATTGTAAAACTCACTTAGAGCTCTGGGCATATGTTTTTCTTAAATGGTAGCAACGTAATAATGTGCTACTATATAATTTTAACAGCAATAAATCTAAGAATAAAATGTCTATCGTGACCTGAGAATTGTGAACGATTATTATTTCATTATGGTGTATAGTGTGACCAACGGATCTGTAGCTACGGGGTATCGGCAGGGGAACGCAGTTGTAAACAAAACACGCCCAATTTCATTCATAAAATAGGCATGGGCGTACGGTGTTATATGAAAATAATGTGTATCATAAATATAATACTCAGATTAATATTTTTTTTCAAAAAACTTTATGCTGTTTGAATCGTTACTGTTGAGTTAGCAGATAAACACTAAAAGCTTTTATTAAAGCTCCCTTAAATATTTTGAATCATTTTATTATTGTGTTGTTAATATAATAGAAGAAATAATTACAGCTGGGGTTGGAACCTTTGGTGTTACACAGCAAAAATAAAACACTAAATCAGTACAATACACCAAAACACTTTTAATTTTACACTGGACGCACGTTTCGCTAACCATGTCTGCCATCAGCAGATGATCAAGACTGAGTCTTGAGGTATATTTATTTATATCTGTACTAACTATATTTTTTTCTATAATACATAATTTTAGATATAACTATTTCCAGCAAAAAAAAAATCTTGAAAATACTTAACTTTGGAAGCGCAAACAAAACATAATTTTACTCACCAGTAGATCCAATATTGCCTATTACACCAGATATGGTATCGCTCCGCCAGTAGTTTTTAAAGGTTAGGTCATTGTCTACCCATATGTTTCATCCAAATAGATAATACTTGGCTATATTTTCGAATTTCACGTATATATTTATATCTCTCTCTGCAATATAATGGGCCGCTCCATTAATATTTATCTGTTATTTTGACATTTACGCCAAAAACATTCATTTGATTTTAATAACCCCCTAAGCGTTTCCCTGCAAAAGGAAAATTCGATTCTTCCTGCAATTTTTGCAAAAGTTTTCTAATTGTGGGGACGAGTTTGAATTCGAGATAAAATCTATTTATCAAATTCCTGACCACTTCGAAAAAGTCGTCGAGCTTTTCGACAGCGGTCTCACGTGGTCGTTTCTTTCCAGAGCTGGATATTATTTTATCGGGGTTAGTTTTCAGCCCTTTTTTTTATCTTCTGTGTGAATTTTTTTATAGCCCATACGCTAACTCCGGTATAAAGAAATATCCGCTCATGTTTACGTTTAAGCGGCAACTTTAGCGAACTCTCTGTAGCTTCTTCATCGTAAACCCTATATTAACTTACCTATATAAATTAGCTATTATTTCTCTTGTCTGACTATGTAGCGTCTTGCCCTTAACACATTTGTTCGTTTTAAAACACAAATATACGATCAAACTTGATATTAATAATTAAAAACTACGAACGAAAAACATTATAGCAAGATAACAAAACAATAAAACACAATTTAACTATCAAATATACGAAAAATATAGGAATAAAGTTTAGGATAACCGGTATAAAATAATGAAATAAAGTAATAATGATCAAAAAAATGACACCGCCACTGGATATTTCAATAGTATTCAATATTCCTACTCTTTTCAGAAGAGACCGTGAAGTTGGGGATAAAGCAAGCGAATAGGAATGGCGTAAAAGCCATGGCAACCGCGTGGTAACAAATCCTGTGACGTAGTCTCGCCAATCATGTTCGATGAATAGGCGGCCATGCGCGGCGATGCCGGTTTGCCAATGATATCGTTGAAAAATCTTCAACTTTCATAATAAGCAGATTATACAGAATGAAAGAAATAAGTTATTAAATAAAACATATCAAACGATATGAACTACGTTAAAATTCCTTAGTAATATTCGTCAGAATATATGCTAAACAGATTATATATAATAAAAATATATTAAATTTATAGTTCATGTCTGGAAATTTTGCAATTTTATAGATAAACGTGGCAATATCGATTTTTTTTTCTCGCATTCCTTCCGTAGCTTCAGATCCGCTGGTCAAACAGTATTGTGGTAAACTGATTTTTTATTTTGCTGTTATAACGCCAAAATTTCTAACCTCAACTTAAGTCAATAAAAAACCACTAAAATTTGTTAAAGAAACTACTAAAAAGTGCAAATTCTTACCTGGAGACTGATGAAAGAGGCCAGTTCAAACGTGACACACGCGGCACCGGATCGTGAATCCTTCTCAGTAACGAGTTGGTCTGAGCGCGAATAAGACTCGTCTCGCTATCGAATATCTGTAAAAGACAAAAATAAAATAAACTATAAAAGCTGTATTAGACTTTTGGTCTTTATTTATTAAAGCCAATAAAAAACAACAGAAATTAAATTGAATTAATAGGTTCGTTCCAACACTACTGAGGATAGCTCTCTGTACGGTTACGCCTTATGCAGAGTGGAGACCTTCGGCAGTACATTCTGCAGATGAAAATAAGTAAAAAAGTTAGTGTAAATTTATGTCCTAAAATGCTTCGTTCCGGAGATACAGGGTGTAGAAGTTTCATTTTTATTTCGTTTTTTTCCAAATCATTTTTGAACTGCAGTCGATATTTGGATGAAAATTGGTGTCGAGATGTGTTTTGACATGATAAATCTGATTTTGAGATCAATATGACTGTTATTTGTCGCCACCACATATATGTTTTTTAACTGTTTCGAAGAGTAATATAACTTTTCACCCATACCTGCATAAAACTACAGAATGAAAAAATATACATTTCAGTCATTTTTTACGTAAAAAAAGTATCTTGGTAAAAATCGCTACGAGTAACCTTTCTCAGATATTTGAAATAGAAGAATTTAGAATTTTTTAGAATTTAGAATGAGTGGGAGGGGGGTTAATCACTTCGACCTTACAGATCCATTGTGTCCCCCTTTCTTGAATCATAACTCATCATACAGTCCCAGGGCTTTGACAAAAGCCAGTATCTGGGACGGTTTCATAGAGGGTAGTTCTCCATCTCCAATATCAGTCGTACCAAAATTCATGGCACGAATGGTTGTCGTCTCGGCGCACTCAGTGATGAGGTGTACTGGTGTTTCACCATCTTCCCCACAGAATCTGCATTCGCCGTTTCTTCTTAGTTTCAATCTACTGAGGTGTTCATGAGGAGACAGTGTCCTGTTAAAAACCCCGTGACAATCCGAAGATTGTTCTTACTTAAACCCAGGAAGATCTGTGATTTTTCTTAATCATAAGCCCTCAGAAACTTCTTCGAGTGTCTTAGACCGTTGCAAGATTTCCATTCCAGGTTACGGATGGAATCTTCCAAGTTCTTGAGTTCCGCCTTGAGTTGGTTACCACTTGGAAAGCAGAACGGTTCTGGTCCAGTTAGTGGAGTGTTCGCTCCTTTCCTAGCTAGATTATTTGCTTTTTCATTGCCTTCTATCCCTTGGTGAGCAGGCACCCAGTGTAGGAGGACTTTGTTTTCTTTGCCTAATTTATTCAGCTTCTCTATGCATTCTTTGACCAATTTCGAATTGATTGATACTGAGTTGATCGCCTTTAACGCTGCTTGACTATCAGATAAGATGGCTATTTCTTGTTTCCGATAGTTCCTATCTAAGATAAGTTGTACGCATCTCTCGATAGCGTAGATTTCTGCCCGTAGGATACTAGGGTAAGTGCCCATTGGTTCGGAGTAATTAGCTCTCGGCCCAAACACTCCGATCCATGTTCCCGTATTGGTTTTGGAAGCATCAGTATACCAAGTTATGGTATGGTCTTCTAACTGCTGGGCAAGCGTTTCGCTCTTCCAATCCTTCTTATTGCTCAATACTACATTGAATATATTTGTAATAAAAATAATTTTCTTTTTTTTGGCAAAAAATAAACATATAATATGTTGAGTAGATAGTGATATGACTGAAATAGTAAATTTTGGAACTTAATTTTTTTTAATTATTATAGATTTTTCTACAAGAATTTATGATAAGATAAAACAGTTTTTTCAACCTTTGGCACATAAACATTTCAAATTTATTATTTCAGACTAATAAATATCCAGTCAACATGTTTAATTTTTGTCAATGATGGCATGTATTGACTATTTCTAGTCCAAATATCTAGAGACAATCAAACGTATCTGAAAAATCACTCGTAGCCTATTTTTACTAAACTACTTTTTTTACATAGTAGAATACCGAGGAAATGTATATTCTTCTACCCAGGTACTCTCACTAGGTACGGATGAAAAATTCTCACTCTTAAAACAAAGAAAAAAATCTGTAAGTAAATCTGTAGGTTGTGCCCCCATACAAGTAGAAGCCATACTGGCATAGAAATCTAATTTCTCATGTAAAAAACACACATTTTTATCCAAATATGGAGGTTAGTTCAGAAATTACTTGAAAAAATTACTTAAAATATCGAAATAAAGATGAAATTTCTACACACTGTATCTCGAAAACGAAGCCCCCATTTTAGGACATAATATTATCCGAATCTTTTTACTTATTATCTGCCGAATATTATATTGCCGAATTTTCCCGATTACAATTCGAACCACCCTGTATACGATGAGTGACGAAGAGAATAGTGATAATGAATATTGGCTTTGGAACTTTTTGGAAATGAAGCAAAGGTCAGAAATAAAAAAAAAATTGGTAACTTAATTCCGATAAAATGAAAAATTCCTAATTTATCTCAAAAATATATTATATAACGTAGGTTATGAATTTGTATTTTGGTATCGTAACAGAACTGCCCAAGTCGACACATGCGTACAAATCCGATCCCTATAAATTTGTGTGTTGGAACAAACTTAATAGAAATAAATAATACATTAATAACTAATAAGTTAATAGTTAAAACACATAGCATATAAAAATATTACAATTTTAAAATAAGCAAGAAATGGAAAAGTTAGTTTGAATAAAAGTTTAGTTAGCAAAAGAAAAACAAAAAATACTCCATAATTTTCTTTGATTTACAATTTTAATATTTTAGCACATGTTACTTACCAACACGGATTTTATGATTATTTTTATTTTTGTTGTCTTAAAGTATTATAGTAATTATGTGTTAATATGTGTTTATTTTTTGAAAAAAAAGTGTAATTGTTTATTTCACCAATAGTATAAAACCATATTCTATTTTTTTTTCTTTAAAAACTAAATAGTTAATTACAGATCTGCTGTTGTTTCTATCCTTTAAATAAAAATAGACACATTATTACGTACAGTTTATATATTTTTCTGCTTTGTCGCATCAAGTGAAACATAGATTTAATATCAGGAATTTGACCAATGTTGTCTAGCGGGATATTGTAGCTATTGTTTTCTACTCAAGAATTCTTTGGAGAAGCATTATAAAAATATGACCTGGTTTTTATAAGCGCCCCTGATTTTTCCTGTTTACTTTTATATGAAAACATTTGATGTAAATATAGAAAAGAATAACGTTCTATTCCATAATAAAATATATATGTATATTTAAAATATTATATTCCATCAAAACTGATACTTTAAATTCTTTTAAAGACATACTATTGCTTAAAAAATTTAAATATTGTATGTTCTCCTTTAGATATTCTTTGTCATTATTAGCAGTTTTATAAATTCTGTGAGCTGTCAATGCTTTAAGAGATTTCTATGTGTGGCTTGCTCATAATTTTAGTGATTATGTTGTAAGAATACACACATAGAGATTTTACGAAATACTTTACTTTTAAGGTATTAGACTAGCGCCTTCTTGTAACAAAACATGTTTAAGGCAATAGACCTCTTTATATAACTAAAAAAGATGTTTTTCCAATTTATAAATTGAGTTTTTATACAACATTGAAATTGTAACGAAGTCAAAGACTTATCTAAGTTGTATTAAAACTTAGCAGCCAGTTAGCAGGCTTCTTCCCCACAAACAAAAGGACAATACTTTAATATGTTCTTTAGTTAAATCTTCTATTTATAATTTATATTTAGTTTTAAATTAAATGACTCTACAATGTACACATAAATTGATGATTTTACTATAGAATTTACCATTAACTAATCCAGTTTTTAATTCTTTCAGTGTACAAACCAGTTTATTTTATTTAGTTCTAAATTATAATTTAAAGATATAGGATTTATTATAGTCCTAGATAACAAGAATATTACTAGAGTGGTAAATTATAGAAGCTTAACCATAAGTTTCTAAAATCTTTTGGTCTACCACAATATGGATTTTAATTACAATATTATAAAAACCTTAAAAATATTATTTAGTGCCCTGAACATACATTTTTGTTAGCTAGGAATGTTTGTAGGTAAATCCGTAATAATAAAATGTCTATCACAACCTGAGAGATTATGAAACATTATATATGTATGTGATGATTTTTTAATCTAAATTACAGAATGAAAGAGCAGCCCTTCTACATTCTGCATAATTATTGTAATTTCTTTCTTTTAATATGTATGCATCTTATTTTGCAGATATTTCTAAAAATATTTGATATAACAAGATTACTTACAAGATTATAACAAGATATTTTACAAATTCTTGAACAATAAAGAGTCAAAATAAAATAACAATATAAAACATTAATTATCACAGTAAACTAAATTATCTTAACACTGCACTTTACAAAAAATCAGCAGGAATAAAATAAGGACCATAGATAAATGAGACAAGTTGAGATTGGAAAGTGCCCATAAGGAAGTAAGTACTATATGGCGCTATTTTGTAACGGTCGCGACCCAAAGCTTTTGATAATTTCATAGCGGCTTTTTCCGGAATTATGTCTCCAAATATATTATTTATTTAAATTTATTGTTTTCTTTTAATTTTATAAATAAAACACATGTGTGTGTTGCATATAAGAAAATTTTATTTAAGGACATGTATGTAATACCTATGAAACATTGGAAACCGAGGTCTTGTCGATGGTTTTTGCAGTTCACAGTTCACACAGCTTAAGTTTTTTTAATGCCACTTTTTCACAATTATCAGGGGTTTGGTTTGGTTGGTTTTAAAAGATTTTATAATTTTTGGAGATTCTGATTTTGAGAAGAGAAATTTTTTTCTGTTCTTGTTTGCAGTTGCTCTTGGCAACTGCTATAGTAGCGTTAGATTCCATACAACGTATGCGACCCAAACAATTATACGTTTTAGCGGAAAGCCGAGCATTCCAATCTAAATTTATTTCCTTTATCTATGACCTCAATATTTTTTTGCATACCATTGAATCATTGTAAAATGATATGTGTAAGACTATCTTAATGATTACCGATTGGATGGCGTAACCTGTGTTACAAAGTTATAAACTTTAATACTTACTTTTTGCAAACGCTCTGCTCTTTCACTAGGCAGCTCGTCCCTGAAAGAACTAACCGATCTGTACAGCGGCCAGTACGAGCTGTTCCAGTACAATGATCGGATTGGTTCGTAGTAGTCGCAATATAAACCTAAGGGTCTGTAAATTTTATTTCTTATGTACGAGGGTGTCGGATAGAGCCTGTACGACAGACCGCTGGAAGCGCTGGGAAGATAGACTATCCTCTGCAAACAAAATCAGTGTGACACGGATAATATATCGAAAGTAAGATACTGACGCGTACAGACTGGGTCAAGCTAGGTCCACATTATCGTTGGAAAAGCAGAACGGCAGATCAGCATATCGATCTGCAGCAATTCTATTGGCTGAAATTTGTCAAAAATTCGGATGTCAAAAATCTCAGCTACTGGAGATCGATACGCTGATCAGCCGTTTTGCATTTCCTGCGATGGTGAGGACTTACCCTCAGTCTTTTGTTAGGAAAATTATGAGCGGTCAGATCGCAAGTCTTTAACGAAAAAATGGTGATGTATTTACTTATCTAAGAATTTAATAAAATACATGAAGAATGAGACAAAAATTAGCTATGTTAAATTAATTAATTGAGAGATATATAAAATGCAAAATATAATAGAGCATATCATTTGCAGTTTTAAAAATTTGTTAAAAGTTAATTGAATAGTAGATCCTACAAATATAATTTTATACAGAGTGATATTATTTGATATAAATACGGAATCATCCACAATAATTGAAATAGTCAGCAATAATTCATTGTTAAGGTATTTTAGGTTTAGTTATCAGTACCGTAAATTTTCATTTATATAATTTTTTAAATATAATTATAAATTAATAATACTATTTACTTTTTCGTTCATTTTGATGTTATTATATTATAGTGATACCAAATGATAAATGTTCGAATTTTTTAAATTTATTATCAATCAGAATAGCCAATTATTTCATTCGTTTTGGATCACTGTGTATTATTTGTTAAAATAATTGCTTGCTCTGATGCATAACGCAGTGTCTGACTTGATATTACTTAAAACACGTAATAAGGTTCGGAATACTTGTACTTTCCGTCCTTTATCGGCTCACTTCTCAAATTTTAAGAGACAAGTATTAACTGAAAGTAATTTAAAAGGTATTTAAGAGCATTCGTTAAAATCTGCACCAAATTCAGTCTAATAGAAATTCTTCAAAACCGAAAATCTCCCTAACGACGTACTGAAATGTCTAGTGGTTTAGTTAAACTTAGTTTATGCTCGAAATGTGTCAGTTTAGCGTTGTGTTTACTAGTTGGATTGTCTTAAATCTAATCTGAAAACCATCATATTGGCTGCCTTTATTGATAATAATTTATAATAGTATTTTTTTTATAACTATTCATTGATATGAAACTATTACGAACTTTTGACGTTATCCGTTAGAGGGCAATTATAAGAAATAAATCCAAACATAAATTAATTTAGAATCTATCAAATTTACTATCAAATATTATTTGTGACATTGCTATAACATTTTCAACTTTACTTATTTAACTTATTATATATATTAACTTATTATTTTTTATTACTGTATTTTTTAATCTGCATTAATCTCTCAAATAAATTATTTTTTTATTTTATTTTTTCTTATTTATTAAAACTATTTAATATAGTTTATAATATTTACTATACCTATTATTTAAAATGTTGTTCTGTGACTATTATGGCCTAACTATAGTCTTAAAGATATTTGTTTATTAATCCTTTTTAAAAAATTAAAGTTCTTATAGCGAACAATAAATTTCTAAAAATATTTTATCAAATGTAGAACAGTGAAATAAAAATAAATATTTGTTGTAATATTATTAAAGTATTCTTCATTCATTCAACTTCGCTATCTGACTCGCAAAACAATTTTCCTAGTTTTAGTGGTTATCACAATTGAAAAAATAATGTTTTTGTGTCGTTTATAAAGCCTTGCTTCAAAAAATAAATCATTTCTATTTGCTTTAATAAAATTACTACATTATTTATGTATTGATAATCAATATACCTAAAAATTAATATTGTACATACACTCACCATTGTATTATTATTGTGCGAAAACTAAATATCTCACATAAAGTAGTTTTTTACACTACTATGTTTAATCCGGCACACACTCGTTGGCAAATGCAGAATGTGTGTGTAATAAAATCTAAAAACATATAACGCGTAATACGTTGCTCAACTAAGTTTTGAAAGAATTTTATATTTCAAGAATCTAATAATTTTTTGTTTTAGTGTCTAGAAATAATTCAATATCTTTTTTTACTTTTAAGAAAAATTTTATATTTTCTGAAATTATTACTACTCAAAAACAAAAAAAAAATATTCGAGAATAATAAAAAATAGTGAAAATCTTGTAAGATATATGTTTCAGTAATTTTAGAAACATAAAGAGATGTATTTTTTCAACAACTATTTAACAATACAGGGTATGTCTTAAATAAGTACACATATTTTCGGGGCTGGTATATCCCGATAAAAAGCATATTTTCTCTTTACCGTTTTTTAAATAACTACAAAATAGCTGAGTTATTTTACTTTGAAGGTAAAAAAAATATGTTTGCTTACATTTTCAGAACTACTAGATTTCTTCTAGGTTTTATTTCCTCTAAATTTAATCTGTTTGCCATATCATAAAGTTATTATGTTTTTAACTAAAAACTAAAAAAAATCCAAAATTTTCAATTCTTTTTGTCGCAAATATAACCTAATGATAGACGTGTTCCTGAGATCGAAATATATTACCCCTAAAATATTTGCACTTATTTGAGACTCACCCTGTATAGTTATTAAAAAAACATTTAATTAATATTAAAATACCTTTAAATTAACTTAAAAAGCATTAGAAACACAGATATATATAAAAGAGAATCCTTAAATCAAGTAAATAAAATTGTTTGAAAATTTTCTTTAGTACAGAGTTAAATTTATTTATGCTGTATCAGGAAAAAAGTGGTTAAAAGATTGTTTGTCTTTGTTGAAAACGGTTTGTTAAATTCAAGTTTGTAACAATATTGGTTAAAAGCTTAAATACTAGGTGGGCTTATTAATTTAATTGTACATAAGATACATTATTACCAAGAAACTTATATTTTAATCTGCAATATTAAATATACAGGGTGAGTTTCCTACGATGTTCTCTATGGGTATCTCGGAAACTACTGGAGATAGAGAGTCGGTTAAATGAGGAAAGAATTGCAGTTTTGTGGGGTCATAAATATGCGCCTTTCAGATTTTTGAAAGTTCATGGCTTACAGCCTGACAAACGGATCTGAAACAACGGGGCAACGGTGAGGGGATCGCAATTTTCTAAAATCGTGACCGATTTCATTCATAAAATATCCACGAGCGTGCGGTGTTTCATAAAAATATATCAGGAATTTTTATAATATTTCCCAGTAAAGTTTATATTATTTTACTTTAAATGTACCTACATTTTGTTTAGTCATTTGCTAAATATAGTAATATTTGTTAAAACGCGTGTACTAATTACAATAAACACAAATCAAGTTAAAGATATAAAACACAATACAATAACCCCGCCACTGGATTTTTCAATAGTAGTGACTGTTCCTAGAGAGGGGCATAAAGTTGGGGGTAATGGCGGCAAGACGTGCGAGAATCTCGACCAATCAGACTGGTTGAATCCGGGATGCCATGATGAATTTTGTCAGCGTTGCCAGCTTACCCTAAGCGGACATTATCTTAAGGAAATACTTTACCTTTTATAATAGGGAGAATGAACGAAAACTGTTAATTAGATAATATATATAATCATATCCCTAATTAGATTGTGTTCTCCGACTTTTTCTAAAGCCTGTCATTTTTGACATATGACACAAACATATGTTTCATTAAATGGAAACCATAGTTGGCCATGACTTCATAAAAAGCGCAATTTTTTAAGCTTTTCAGCGATATAAGCTATAATATGTTCCTTTCGCAAAATTACTGAGTTATAGCCAATTCTCATCTTTCTTGACTTAAATTTCACTTAGCCATGGAAACAAGTTCAATCGTTGTTGCTCTCAGAAATATGAAATTGTCACATCCAATCTTTGTAAATTAAAATAAACGAAAATTGTAAATAAGAGTTTTTGAAATGAAGAAAAGCGTGTAGGATTATTGGTTCAACTTTTCTTGGCCATACAGTTTCGAAGATACGTTGGCCGTTAACCGGTGAACGTTACTTACGTTTTTTAGAGAACAGTTTTCAAGACATGTTAGAAAAGTTAAATTTTGATACTAGCGCATTAATAGAGTGGTTCAAACATGACTTTCATTATGACACACTAAACCCCCCCCCCACAATGAAAGAAATGTTAAAAATTATTTATATCATAATTATGTAGACTCAGGGATAGAGAGAGGTGGACCAATTGCATGGGTCTCCTCGGTCACTTGACCTATCCATTTTAGTTTTTTTTATGCGGTATGGGTAACAACAAAGTTTACAAAAGAACTTATGAATTGAGAGAAGCAGTCGAAGGGAGAATAGCTAGAAATTCAGTTTTAAAAAGCTGCATTTATGTACTCAAAACAATTGCGGATTTTTTGAAAATTTTCTAAAATAACTTGTAGTGATATTATTTTTTAAGTTTTAGTTTGTGTAATGCAAATTGTAAAGAGCCGTTTAATAATATATTTTGTCTTTTTATAAGTTATAAATCATAACAAAATTAGAACACTATTGAAAATCGTTCTCTAAAAAACGTAAGTAACTTTCACCGGTCAACGTATCCTCGAAACTGTATGGCCAAGAAAATTTGAACCAATAATCCTACACGCTTTCCTTCATTTGAAAAATTTTTATTTACAATTTTTGTTGATTTTAATTTACAAAGATCGGATGTTACAATTCCACATTTCTGAGAGCAACGACGATTCAACTTGTTTCCATGGCCAACTAAGTGAAATTAATCAAGAAAGATAAGAGTTGGTTATAACTCAGTAATTTTGTGAAAGAAACATATTATAGCTTATATCGCTGAAAAGCTTAAAAAATGGCGCTTTTTATGAAGTCATGGCCAACTATGGTTATTATGTCTATTTAAAAAAAACATATATTTGTGTCATAAGTCAAAAATGACAGGCTTTAGAAAAAATCGGAGAACACAAACTCATTAGGAATGTGATTATCTTAAAAAAATCTCTAACTTTTATCTGAACACTTTTTGTCTAAAATA